CCCCCACCTCCCAGGTACCCCCACCTCCCCAGGCATCCCCACCTCCCAGGCACCCCCACCTCCCCAGTCATCCCAGCTTCAGCAAGTGTCCTAACTGACTTGACCAGGTGTCATGCCCCAGGGAACTACAGTGGGCTCTGAGGAGAATATGGTGGGAAGACCCATCATTGGTCACCATGCCATCTGCAGCTGCCACAGACAGGCCACACAGCTAAGCAGGAACCAGGCCCCCTGGCATCAGGACCAGCCCCTCCAGAGCTGGGGCAGGGCTTCCCTCAAATGCAGCCAGACCTGCAGGTAGCCCTGCCCTCTGCAGCAGCCTCTGGATTTAAAATGACCACGGGAGCAATCTTCCCACTTGCCAACTGCCACTCCCACACCCTGGATACCAATGTCAAGTGGAGCCTGCACTGAGGCCACGGCCAGAGCTGTGGCCTGAGTTCAGGATGTGGCCCCTAAGTTTTTGTGGCATCCCTCAGAGGCTCCTCGGGGACCAGCTGAAGCGCCTGTCCTTATGAGGGCATTTCTGTATGTTCCTCTCCCCTCAAAGTCCACCTGCAATAGTTGCCACCAGTGCTAACATCTGTTGATCCAACTTGCCAACAAGCTGTTAACTGTCCCTTCAGAGCATGAGCTGAGGCTGAACCCTGGGAAATCACGGCCGTCCCAGCTCCTCTCTAGGGATGCCTCCCTGCCTCTGCTTTGTGTCCATAACACTGGGATCAATTGCATCAGGCTGTGGCTCTGTTGTCCCCACGCCCACGACCTCCTGGAACTTCCTCCCTGCTCTTCAGAGTGAGTTCGGCTGTCCAAGGGGTGGGGGCTTCGCTCCGCTGAGGCTCTGGTTTGAAGATTCTGCTCATCTTTAAAAGTAACAGTGGATGCTAGATCCAGACACAGGGGGTCTTCAGACTGCGGGCTCCCTGCCAAACGAGCATGTCCATTGAGTGATGAATTTGTCAGCTGGCTGAGCCTCACAGGAAGGAGTCAAAGCTCCCTGCAGGGAGAGGGCAGAAGGGGCCGGAGCTGCTGACCCGGCCTTTAAGGCGCAGCAGGACTCAGGACCACAGGGGTGGCTCCACTTTCCCGCAGGAGTGAGGGACGGGCATAGCCTGGGGCCTCAGAACAGACTCCTGGAAAATTAAAAGGGTGAGTACAGCTGCCCCACGCGCGAGGGGGTGGGGATGGCTGGGACGGAGCGCCATGCAACGTGCTTAACGGGGTGACCCCTGGGCAGGGGAAGACCCTGAGGGCTCTAAGGATTTGCCCAAATCTACCAAGAGGAAAAGACGTGGGTAGGCGAGCATGTGGCTGACTCCAAGCAGAAGCACAGACTGGAGACATTCCCAGTGGGTGGAACTGGGCTTGGCTTTTCCAAACCCAAAGAACAGGAAGGGGCAAGTCACGCCGCAGGGGAAGCCTGTGTTTGCTTGAGCTGAAAACGCCGGGAAAGCAGCCTCCACTCCAGGAGGAAGGCCCAGGGCTCATTTCTTCGGGTTTTGTTGCTGCTCCTGCTGCTGCCCGGAGTGTTGTGTTGTGTTGTGTTGTGTTGTGTTGTGTTGTGTTGTTTTGTGTTGTGTTGTGTTGTTTTGTTTTGTTTTTGAAAGCCCACGGAGTAGGACAGCTTTCTTTAGGAAGCCTTTGAAGGCCCAAGGACAGTAGCATGCAGGCAGGGTTGAGTCCTGGCCTTCACAATGGGGACACTGACCCCCACCCGCTCCGGGATGCCCGCCATGAGCCCCTCACGCTGGCCCGAGGGTGGACTGACAGGCCTCTAGTCACTGTCGACAGCTGCCTCTGGTTGCTTCTGTCCTGCAGAGGCCGCAGACCCACCGCAGTGCCCATGGCTGCACTTGCTGGAGGCTCCACAGGAGAGAAAGAGGAATGCCCAGAGCTGAATCCACCACAGCTGTCTCAGCTCCCAGGGCGGGCTCGTGGACAGGACTTGCAGGGGGAGTCCCAGAGTGGTCTCGTGTGGAGGACTCCAAGGGTGGGCTCTTGCACAGGGCTCCCGGGGTGGGCTCGTGGGCAGGGCTCCCAGGGTGGGTCTCAGGGCGGGCTCGTGGGCAGGGCTCCCAGGGTGGGTCTCAGGGCAGGCTCGTGGGCAGGGCTCCCAGGGTGGGTCTCAGGGTGGGCTCGTGGGCAGGGATCCTGGGGCAGGCTCATGAGCAGGGTTCCGAGAGTGGGGTTCCAGTATGGGTTAGTGTGGAGGACTCCAAGGGCGGGCTCCAGGATGGGGTCCCAGGGTGTGCTCGTGGGCGGGGCTCCCAGGGTGGGTCTCAGGGCGGGCTCGTGGGCAGGGTTCCCACAGTGGGTTCCAGGATGGGCTTGTGTGGAGGACTTCAAGGGCAGGCTCGTGGGCAGGACTCCCGGGGCAGGCTCATGGGCAGGACTTCCGGGGCGGGCTCGGGGACAGGACTCCCGGGGCAGGCTCGTGGACAGGACTCCCGGGGCGGGCTCGTGGACAGGACTCCCGGGGCGGGCTTGTGGACAGGACTCCAGGGGCGGGCTCGTGGACAGGACTCCAAGGGCGGGCTCGTGGGCAGGACTCCCGAGGCGGGCTCGCTGGCAGGACTCCTGGGGCAGGCTCTCGGACAGGACTCACGGGGCGGGCTCGCGGACAGGACTCCTGGGGTGGGCTCGTACGCTCGCTCACATCCAGCACAGCTGGAGCATCCACTGCCAGGCCTTCCATCATGACGCTAAAGCCATTAATCAGGAACGACAATGACAATGTCTTTGTCCTGGTTCTGACCAAGGCCTCTGACTTTCATTGCCTGCATCACCACAGCCTAATGTGTGTCTGCAGTCACCGTGTGTGTCCCACTGTCACAGTGAGGAGGCTCAGGCACACAGGTCCCAGAGCAGACCTGAATCATTGCCTTGGCGTATTCCTGAGCATCCTGCCTCTGCTCCAATCCAGGACAAGTGCTGTGGCTGCCCCGGCGTCAGGCCTGGCTTCTCAGTGCCACTGCACCTATCCCAGCAATGCAGGGACCAATGTGGCAGATCTGGGCTCCAGACTGTGAGACCAGTGTCCCCTTAGCTGAGTATGTCATCAGTCTCCTTTGTCACCTGCATGCCCTTTACTCTAGCGCAGAATGAGCCCAAGGCTGCCCTTGCCCAGGACCGAGAGAATTCAGCACCAGGGCCTACACTCAATCAGAAAGGCTGAGTGAGAACCAGGTGCTCTGGGAGGTGCCAGGTAGGTCCTGGAGGGCAAATCCCCTGCACCTCCTGCTGCGTCTAGGGGATTGCGCTTTGCTTTTTACTGAAAGCAGGTCACTCGGGAGCAAATCTGAATATAGACAGAGATAGCAATAATATATTTATGAGAGAGAGAGAGGAGACTCACAAAATCACGGTATGTGCACCTCCTCCTCCAGCT